AGAGAGAGAGAGAGAGAGAGAGAGAGAGAGAGAGAGAGAGAGAGAGAGAGAGAGAGAGAGAGAGAGAGATCAACAGACAGACAGGGACATACACAAAGAGACAGTGAGACGGCTAGAAGACATAGGAAAAAGACACAGATAGTGAAAAAGAAAGAAACAGAGAGGCCGAAACAGAGAAAGGCAAGCAGGCAGACAGACAGGACAAGCAAACAAGAGGGAGAGATGCGTGGCATACAGACAGGCAGAGACAAGCAGAGTAATGATTGTGGCTGTCTCTGCTGTGCTGTGCTTTTGTGGTGCTGACAGGTGTGGGGCATGTGATGGCATGAGGAATAATTATGCAGTCAAAGGAGATTACGGTCGTGCACTGACGGAAAACCAGCTTCCCAAGTCCTCCTGATTGCGTCACCCTCGTGCACTCCTGGATTGCACTCCTGATTGAGGGCGTCGCCACACCACTCTCGAAATGTGAAAAAGACAAAAATGTGTCGGGTGCATCTGGCCATGTTCTAGCGGAAAGTTCATTCTCATTTTGCACATTTCGAGAGTGGTGTGGCGATGCCCTGAGTATCCAGGACTCTTAGAAGAGGGGGTTAGCTCTAGGAGACTGTGTCATGATGTCATCCCTCCTGTTTATCAGAATGATGCAGTGACTCTCCCCAACTCAACGACATCGGTTCTGAGTTGGGTAATCCTACGGCTGCCATGGCGAAGGGACCTTCAAGCAAGCTGCAGGCTCAGGGGGAGCCTCAGGCTACTAAAGGACAGCCTCCGCCTCCGCCTCCACCTCCGCGGCAGTCTCAGGGACAGCAAAGCTTGCCCCTGAGGCTGGGGCTCACCACTATTGCTGCTACGGTTGCAGAGATATTCACTTTCCCGATAGATATCACGAAGACACGACTGCAATTGGACGGAGAGATGCAAAAGCAGACGGGGGCTGTAAAGCGTCGTGGTGCACTAGGCACAGCTCTGGGCATTGCGAGGGAAGAAGGGGTTAGTGGGTTATACAGGGGGTTGTCGGCTGCTTTGGTGCGGCACATGATCTACTCCAGCTCTCGCATCGTAATCTATGAGCAGTTGCGGGCGGCTTCGATGAACAAGACTTTGAGTTCGACGGGAGAGCAAGGACGTGCAAAGGAATTGTCAGTGGGCATGAAGGCACTGTTGGGCGGGACGGCTGGCGTGATTGGCCAAGTCATAGCCAGCCCTGCTGACCTAGTCAAAGTACGTATGCAGGCCGACGGACGACTTGCTGCTACGGGCGTTCCTCCTCGCTACACGGGTTTTCGTGATGCCTGCTCAAAGATTTACGGAGAAGAAGGACTGCGTGGGCTGTGGCGAGGAGTTGGGCCCAACGCGCAGAGAGCAGCGTTTGTGAATATGGGAGAGCTTGCATGTTACGATCATGTCAAATACTTCATCATCTCTCGAAAGCTTGCCGACGACAATATTGCGGCCCACACAATGGCCAGTGTGCTCTCAGGGCTTTCCGCAACCGTCCTCAGCTGTCCTGCGGATGTCGTGAAGACCCGTATGATGAATCAAGGGCATGTAGGCTCACACCAATACAGCAGCTCCGTCGACTGCTTAGTCAAGACGGTTCGCGCAGAAGGAGTGTTGGCCCTCTGGAAAGGGTTTTTCCCTACATGGGCCCGCTTAGGACCCTGGCAGTTTGTCTTTTGGGTATCGTATGAACACCTGCGCAAATTAACTGGCCTCTCCTCGTTCTAACAGAATGACAGCATTGATAGGACACCCTCATTCTAACAGAATGATAGCATTGATTATTGATAGGACACCTTAAACCCGCTACCGTCTTCCCCGAACATAATGCATCTGTGTTCTATTCAAGTTTTCGAAAGAAAGAAAAAAAAAGAACGTCGATGATGATTCAAGTAGAACACATAGGTGTTGTACTCGAATACACAAAGCCATTCGAATAGAATGCATATGTGTTGTAGACTTGTAGTCGAATAGAAAGCAACCTATGCGCGCTGTATTCGATTACAACACATACGCGTTATGTTCGGTGGTGGAGGACGACGGTAGGCAAAAGCAGGCTCATCGCCTACTTCAACGCCGAAGCTCATCTTCTGCTCTTCTTCCAGCAGGAAGTGAGATCTCAGCCCATTTCCCCATCCACAAATAGACTAGTGCAAACATCGTGCACCACTGCATCGTGTCATCGACTACTTGCCAGATCCAATTAGAAGGACAGATCCAGTTAGAAGGAAGTTGGGGGTCAACCCAATCCCATCTGCAGATGACGTCAACCCAATCCCATTTGCAGATGACGTCTGAATAGGAGTGAGCAGTGAACGACTTCAACGACTTCAGCACACGGATGTCTTGGTATCTACAATTTAGCAGAGGTCTGTGATTCGCTGGGGAGTATAAGAGATGATAAGAAGCAAAAGGGCATGGAGGTCTGTATGCCCAGACCTAGATGTAGTACTTGAACACTGAGCAGCACCGCCCTCAAATTCGGACTAAGTGAAATTTGCATGTAGCTAAATACATAACCATAGCGGAATCTCGCCCAGGTCTAGTACTTGAGCAGCACCGACCTCACCTGGACAGGAAGGAGATGGGATATAAGGGGGGAGAGGTGGTCTAGGAATGGCTAACTCACCCCTAACTGGCAAAGAACCATTACTACAACCAATACCCTCCACTGGTGCAAAAGATAGCAGCCTTGTCCTTCGTTGACAAGCAAGTGAAGGGTATTCTTGCAAGCGGGACTTGTCCTTCGGGACATCCGTCAAAATTGGAATGATACACGGAAGGGTAATCACTAATTAGCAAAATGGCCCCTGCGCAAGGATGACACGCATAAATCCAGAAATTCCCCCCCCCCCAAAAAAAAAGAAAAAGAAAAAAAAGAACAAAAAGAAGATAGCAGCCCACGGTGGCATGGGTTGTCTATGTGTGCATACATGCTTGAGAACGCTCAGGCGGCAACGTCTGAAAGCTGGCTGTTCGTCGTAGGCTAGCACTAGCATGTGTGTGAATCAGGGCATACTCACACTAGCACTTTCCAAAATGCATCTGAGAGTCTCAGACCGCAATTTCGGCCACACCTGTATGCATCTGGCTGCAATTCCGTCCAGAAACAAGTTAAAAAAACTCCTAGTGTGAGTATGCCCTCTGTCTCTGCTACCACAACCTTCATAACTTCACTGCTCTGAGCTCAGTATGCCCTCTGTCTCTGCTACCACAACCTTCATAACTTCACTGCTCTGAGCTCTCCACAGTTAACAGCCGCCGCGAACACACTGTTTTTTTTTTTTTTTTTTTTTTTTTTTTTGAGGTCGTAGCAAGTCAGCGACTAATTAATCCAGGATTAATCACAGACCATGCACAGAATTACCAGTGGACTGCAAGGGCTTGGCACAGCATATATATTATATAGCCATAGTTTGGAGCTTGGTCTATTAAAGTTAATTGAACTCTATTTATATAGTAGTAGTTGAGATATGGGAAGGTGTGTCTATAGAGTAGAGTAGAGCGATGGGAGGGCCACCAAACCACGGTTACTGCAGAAGAAGGTCACAACTGTTTTGCTAATTAATTAATATTAATTAATCTTAAGTTCTTAAATAATTAATAATTCATGCATTAAAAAAAAACATATAAAAAAAACTAATAATATAATTTAAAAAAAATCATTCACTTTTTGGCCTTTGGGCTGTGTGTGCACTTGCTCGGGTCTAGAAGAGAGAGAGAATTGAGAGCTGGGGTTCACTACTTGTAAGTTGCAGGTCATTTAATTTTAATATTTAATGAATTTAAAGTAGAAGGGTTTAATAATTCCTTCATTTTTTGGCCTTTGGGCTGTGTGTGCTCTTGCTTGGGTCTAGAAGGGAGGGAATTGAGAGTTGTGATTCACTTTTGTAGGTTGTACGTCATTTAATTTTAATATTGAAGTAAATTAAAATTTAAAGAAGGTTGCATCTGGCAGCGGTCTGAGCTGAGATTCCACAAAGATTCCACAACAATATGGAGTGACTTGATCTGGACTTGATTTGCAAATGTAAGACTGGGTAAGAGGGGCCGGCATGCAATTTGGTCTTCAGCTATGGATCGATTGTTGTGTGGGCCTTGAGGCTGTGCTGGGAAGATATCCGACCATGTTTATGAGATGTTTTTTTTTTAATTTTTGAACAAGGGTGATCTTCTCAGTATTTGATGAGCAGGATTTTTTTTTTTCTTTTTTTTCCCCTGCGTGAGGAATCGAGGAGAAGTAGAAGGCTAACGGACAGTCAATCCTCCCCTCCAACTTGAAGGAGCAATCAATGCTGTCCAGGGGTCCGTCGGTCTTAACGGTAGTGTGTGCTATATTGGATCGAGTTGTATCGTTTTTTTTTTTTTTAAATCAACTTGTATCAATCTGGACTTGCTGGTGGAATAGGAAGTGGACTGATGATCTCCCCCCCCCCCACAAAAAAAAGAAAAGAAAAGAAAAAAAAGGATTGCTGGATAGACTGGATAGGGGGACTGAGCCAGACCCATAAGTGGACTGGAAGAAAAACTAAAAAGTAAAAAGTTGTTGCTTTTTTTAGCATTGCTGCATGTATTGTTCTCTGCTTCAGGCCCCAGCTTACTTTTGTGTCGCTGAAAGAGCACACCTCAAACCGTCTCCAGAGTCCAGACTTACCCCGACTCTCATTGAGCACTCGACAGCTGATGCCACCCATCCTTTTTTTTTTTCATTCTTTTTTTTTTTAAGACCTCCTGTGGTGCTAGTGGTGCTGGTAAAAAAAAATATCTATATCTATATCTATATATACAGGGTAACCGGCGTTCGGGACGGGCCGAACGCCCGAATGTATGGGACCCCTTGGGGATGCGTTCGGCCGTTCGCGTTCCGGTCGAACGCGGACCCAAAAAAAAAAAAAAAAAAACAAAAAAACTCTGAGAAAAGATATGTTATGAAGAAAATAAACTAAACAAGATTTGCCTGAGCATTACATCCAAATTCCTTGCCAAATTTGAAATAAAAATAAAATACGAAAAATAAATAGTAATAATAAAAATAACAAAAAAAATAAAATTAAATTTAGTGAGTTCGCGAGCACGTTTTCGACACCGCCATCTTTGGCGATTTTTCATTTTTTTTTTTTTAATAGCTAAATGCCCTGAAAATTTACATATGTTTACTTCACATAATGCAAAACACACTTAAAAAGTTAAAAAAAATAATAAAATTGTTTAGGCCCCGAACTAAAGTGAAAACAAAAAGTAGAAAGTGAAAAAAAACGTGGGCAAGCACGTTTTGGCACCGCCATCTTTGGCGATTTTTAATTCTTGTTTGGCTGATCCAAATGACTTGAAAATTCATAGGCGTGTACCTCACGTCATAGAGAACTCACAAAAAAATAAAAATAAAAAAAAGAAATATATTTTTAGGTCCCGAAATAATTTTTGGCGGGGGCCGAACGCCGTCGGGTTCGGACCCCGAACGCCCGTACGTACGGAGTACGTACGGACTGGTAACCCTGTATATATATATAGATAGATATAGATATATATATTGTGTGTATAGAACGGTAAGGAAACAACCTTGACGCGCTTTTGAACAGTCAATAAGGGGTTCGAACTTCGGCGAGTCATCGCATTGACTCAAAAACTGCAGCAAGTTTGACAATTGTGGCTGAAGGCAAAAAAAAAAGCATAGCAACGGCAGAGGTTACGCTAAGGAAGCAGAAGACGAGGTAGGTAGGAGTGGGTCCTGTGAGCACAAAAAAAAAAAAAAAAAAAAAAGCATAGCAACGTGGATAATCAAACTGCTTTAAATTTGAAAATTTCCCTCTGCTGGGTGATACCAGTGCCAGAGTTTTTTTTTTTTTTTTGAAATGCCTCTCGTGGGGAAAACACTCCCCCAGTTTGGCCAAATTACAAAGAGTCACTGTGGGACAAGTAGTAGACACATCCTTCCTTACAGGCTTTGCTTGCCCTCCAAAGCCATTCGAACTAATGGCTGCATCTTCTTTCCCCCCTGAGCTCCTCCGTCTCCTCTCCCCTCCCTCTCTCTCTCTCCTTACTTCCCTCTCTCTCTCCTCCTTACATCCCTCTCTCCTCCTCAAAGAAACAAACGAACCATAAAAAAAAAAAAAAAAAACGCTCTATCTCGCTCTCTCTGTCTCCGTTTCCCCCCTCCTCTCGACCTTCACGAATGATCGACTAAGTGACAAAGAAGATGAAGACTATCTTCTCTGTGGCCTGGCCTCCACTACGTGTGCTTGGGGGCCAGTCCCTCGTCTCCTCACTCTCTCCATATCCGCAGCTGTACACTTACCAACACGTACGCGTTCAGCTTATTCCAAGAGTGAGAAGAAGAGACTGCGTAGCGAAGACTACACTCTAAGGTCTAACTCCTCACTGACACGTATACAACAATGCAATATGCCCAGCGGCGAGGTAGACCGCTGCAGATCCACAACTTCGCCGGCGTCTGACTCGTCTGAAAAAGACAGACAGAAAAACAACGGCGAGGTCCACTCGACACGTGGACGCACACCAACACGCTCCCTCCCCTTCACAGTCAATTCGATTTTGCCTGTACCCATTTTCGCACGCCCATTCCCCATTCCCCCCTCGCCCCTTCCCCCCCCCCCACCCTCTCCTCTCCTCTCCTCTTCCTCTCCTCTTCCTTCTTCTACAAAACTCTACATCACAGCGTTTCCTTCAAATACACTCCACGGAACACTGAGCACTCTCCTTCTCAACTCCTTATTCACATATTCTCTCTCTCTCTCTCTCTCTCTCTCTCTCTCTCTCTCTCTCTCTCTCTCTCTCTCTCTCTCTCTCTCTCTCT